TGTCTTTGCATCCTGTGTTGGCATGTGTGCTTGCACCTGTGCACACGTGGGTGCAGAGCGGGCGACTTCCTCAATCCCACTCCCTCTTATTTTTGAGGCAAAGGCTCTCACTGAACCTGAGCTTTACCAGGAGGCCGGCTGCTTCCTGTCTCTGCTTCCTCAGTGTTAAGATTACAAATGTGTGTTGTCACATCCAGCTTTTTGTATGGGTGCTGGGGATTTGAACTCAGGTCTTCATGGGCATCTCCCCATCTCCAAGACATACATATCATGGTGTACATATCTTGTATTTCACATTTATACATGAATATACAAACTTTGTAATGAATCCAGAGGTACTAAAGAACACATCCTTTTTCATTGGTAAAGACCTATTCAATCATGTTTCAAGAGCTAAACTATTTGACCTCAACTTTATCAGGTGATACGGCCTATGGCCTAAATGTTTGCTTCCCTGTCATCCACACTAACTCTTATGTTAGGCTTTAACCCCAGGATAGTGATGTTCTGAGGTAGGGCTAAATTAAGCCAGGGCCAAGCTTACAGAGTAGAATCTGTAGGTTTAGAGAAAAACAAACAAACAAACAAATCAGAAGGAGCTATGGTAGCTCAGGGGTAGAATGCTTTCCTAGCATGTGCAAGTTTGATTTCCAGCATGGCAAACTGCAGAGCTTACTTTCTGTCCCTACTTTCCACCGCAAGAAGATCTGATATGAAGATAGCTTTCTAAACCTGGACCTGCCTAGATGCTTAGATAAAATAACCCAAAGGCAAGACCTTTACAGTACCTAAAAATGAACAAGGAAAGCGGTCTTACTTATTTTTAGAGTCAGAGGTTACAAACCTTGTATAAATGTGTTTTAAATACCATCTGTTAGATTTAAATTCTTTCAAAAGGCACAGTCCAGAAATGAAAGTGAGAACTGTGCGACTGTGTAACTGTGAAAATTGCTTTCATGCGTGGCTTATGGGTGCAGCCAGAGGCCCAGCCATTAGGGCCCTCATCAGCGTGCACTCTGGATTTGCTCTTACAGATAGACTCAGCTGTAAGTGTGTCTGAAAGACAGAGTGCAGCTATAGACAAGACAACAAAACATCTGAGTGTTCATTGTGTAGGAAACACTGTGAGAAACATTTGAACGCCCATTTCCCACAAAAACTTCCAAAGATGGATTACATCAGCCTATTTTATACATGACAAAAAGAATCTCAGAGGTAAGCGATTTGCCCATAATCACCAAAGACACTGTAATTTGTGTTCATAACAAAGCCCATAAAAACAGTTAAACATTACTGAATTTCTCTGTGTTAATGTTTATTATGGTGTTTTGAATTTCAAATCATAACTATGTATGTATTTTTGGAATAGAAAAGAAGAAAAGGGTGAGTCAAATCTCGTTTTTTCTACACACTAGCCAATAGAAAAATTTCATATAATGTAATAATTTCAATGATGACACCGTAATTTGAATTTAGTTAAAAAAAAACTTCATGACTGGAGACTTTAATTAAATTATATCATATAATTTCAATTTGGTCCTAGAAAACTGAGTTATTTAGCTGAACAAATCCAAATTCACTGAATTGTACACAAATAATTCCATAAACATGAAAATGACAAGGTTCTTGACAATAAGTAAGAATAAGGACATGTTCTATAGTCTTTTTTATGTTTATAAGTAGGGATAAAATATGTAGGAACTTGAAGAATAATTGATTCATTCAACCAACACAAAAATACAAGAAGCTTACAGTAGGGACTCCTAGATTCAGCACTGAGATGGAAAGAAAGGCACTCAAACTGTAGTCACTTTTCCTGGGCCTCAGAAGTCAGGCTTCCTCAGTCACCTAGGCAACGAGCGCTGTGGATCCGAGGGCCACAGATAAGGTACTGATTACTTAGACCTGAAAGTAGCTAGAGCTGTAAACTTATAAGAATTCTTAAATGGTTATTTTAGTGGATTTCACTCAAATGAGAAAACTCCCAGGGACCCCATTTTTATTGGTTTGGGGCCCCTACATCGTATGCATTTTATCCTCTGGACTCCCACAGGGGTAAGGGTTCTTATGGCAGAGATCTGAGAAAGTACCCTGTTGCTCTGCCTAAAAGGCAAGGAGGATCTATTCTGAAACACACCCAGGACTTCTTCCCATAACTGAGGCCTATTTCCTAGAGAAAAGTACTTTTCATAGAACTTGATAAACATGGAGAGTATTCCTTTCACCCCCTATTCTCCTAATACAAAGAGGTTAAACAGGTTCAGCAAGAGCCAGGGAATGGAGGACTGAGTGGAAGGAAATAAATCAAGAAACAACACACAGGTCCACTAAATAACAGATGTAATCACTCCGAAAACAAACAAACCTGGAATTCCAGATCCAGCAAAATCATTCTTCAAAGTGAAGGGGGAAAAACATCTGAGGGAATCCATCACTTAGAGACCTTCCCTGCACACAATGTCCATTAAAAAGTTCTCTGGGCAGACAGAGATTGATATAATAAGGCAGAAACCTATCCATACAAAGACATGTTCACTCTCTCATAAGGAATAAATGGAGGTGAATATATTTTTTTTAAATATAAAGCGATCTGAAGGGGTAGCTATTTGAGGTAGAGATAATTAAAACATACTCAGTAGCTGGTGAAAGCATATTATAGTTAAGTAATCTCACAATAAGTGACAGCCATGCCAACAATGGAAGGGACCAATCAGGAACTCTACTTGTAGGTACCTGTACTACACCTCAAGTGTCATGGCACCAAACAGGACCTTGAATTAGATTATAAACAAAGACTGAAAATCTAAGGTCACCATTAGGGATAAATGTAAATTATAATTGCTTGGCTAAAATGAGATATAATAATATAAAATGCTCAGTTAAAACTTTATATAGCAAAAGAAAAGTGAGAAGAAAAAAAAAAAGGAACCACATGGAAATAGAAACAGTGACAACCATTAATTACTTCTTTAAACGTAAGAGGTCTGAAAACACCAATTTAAACAAAGACACTTCCACGATCCATATGAAAGTCCCAGCTGTAAGGGACCTCTAAGAAATTTATTTTGCACACACTCAGCCAGATAAATTAAAAGAAAGATGAAAATAAACTAAGCCAAGACAAATTAAATCCACAAGATTTCTTAACTTTATCCACAGAAGACTTCAAGAAAGATGATTTGAAAAAAGGTAGATGAAGTGGTACAAGCCCATAATGCCAGTGCTGCAGAGAACTGAGAGTACACAGCCAGTCTGGGTTACAGGGTAAGAGTCCTTATTTAGAAAACAAAACTCAAGCCAAAAAAGTGAGCACACACACCAGCATTGGAAATGAATGAGGGGTGATCAACACCGATTCCAATGTAAGAAAAATACTATGAACAAGTCCACACCACACATTTGACAATGTAGATGAAACGGATGCCTCTTTGAAAGACACAAAACCCATAGGAGAAATGTGTGTGTGTAGAAACTCAGATAGCCTTCAAAAACTGAGCATCAATCAGATCAATGGTTTCACTTGAAAAATTCTACACCAAAGGTAAAAAGCACACCAATTTTCCATAATCTTTTCTAGGAACTTACTCGAGGAGCAGAACTCATATTGGTGGCTTATTAGTATAATAGGACAGAGGAGCAGACGGGGTGAGAGAAGGTTCTGCATGGATGAGAAGTGTTTATAGGCTGTATTAGGTATTTAATATAGTGGTAGAGGAACAGCACCCAGTGAAAGTGAAAATCCAGAGTACTTACATGACCTTCTCCAGTGCAATTGGTCTTTGTTACTGAAACTCCAGACCTACCATTTCTCAGCATGCTCTGAGGCTGAACTGAAAACTCTCTTCTTCCTGTCAACGCTGTGTGCCTTCAATCTAAAACCCAGGGGTAAGAGCTGAAGAAATTGTTCAGTGGTTAAGGGTGTTTGTTCCTTTCATTGGTTCCCAGCACCCACATCAGGTGGCTCACAACCTCTTTTAACCCCAGTTCCAGATCTGATGTCCTCTAGTCTCCATAAGCACCTGAACATATGTGACCTGCTCAGACACACATACACAAGTAAATAAACAAAGCAAGAAGAAATAGAAAAATGGGAGAGGAAGGACCTGAAAAAAAAAAAAAAAAAAATCAGGACAGTCTCTTAGCAAGTTGTTATTTTAACTTCTAAATATTTTGGTTTTCCTGGATATATGTTTGTACTGTGTAGTTTTGTGTTCACATGTGCACCTCATGCCCCAGGAGCCCACAACACCTGGAAATGGAGTTACGGTTGTGAGCTGCTATGTGGGTGGCAGGACTTGAACCCCATTCCTCTGGAAGAGCAGACAGTGCTCTTTAACAACTGAGCCATTTCTCCAGCCCAATAGGGTGTTATTTTAATCCAGACTGGAAGACAAAAGTGTAAGCCCTTCTCTGATCAGTAACATGATGAGGTCAAAGGCCCTAATAGGGGAGATAGTTGGTATGTCTGAGGAACAGCATGATTGATGTGGCTAGAATCAGTGAGTTCACGGAGCTACAAAGAGGTTTGGACAGTATTGGGCAGCAGATAATGTTGGTAAGGAGCTTGCCTCCCATATGGAAGTGTGTGGCCACTGGATCTGAGCAGAAGAGGGACACAGCCCCAACTTCAGAATCACTCAACTGTGAGGAGAAAACAGGGAAGTAGAAGGAAATCCCTGGCAGTAGCAACTGCACACAGGCAAGCAAGACAGGCTTAGACTAGGGTGACATGATGATAGTGGTACGTATGTGCATGTATGGGGATGCTACAGAGAAACAGGATTTTATATCCCATGTGGAATGGGATAAATGTACATCAGAGAGGCATCATGAACATTTTAGGTTAGCACAATCAGAATACTGGTAATTCTAACTCATTCAGGTTATGCCACAAGCCAGATATTTAATAGCTTAAAACATTTCATTCTACCATCACATGAGATAGTTTGTGATTTTCACCAAATTTTAATTTTGCAAAATTCATTCTTCAGGTCAGTTTACAACACTGGCAGTTTTCAATCAGAAAAGGTTTTATTACAAGAAACAATGACATTAGATAAAAATGCAAAAAATTGTGCAATTACAGCAAAATGTTTAAAAATATCTACACATTTGCCCCATAGGACTACAGTACTTACTACATACCTGAGCACTGAATATTGAATGCCATTTTAAACTTCTTTACATGGGACTCTGGTTCCCTACAGACCACAACCACTTTTCCTCATGCACCAATGAAATCAACTTGATGCTTACACATTAACTTTGTAGGATAACAAGAAACAAAGACGGACATAAATAATAATTTCTTCTTTCCTACAACATAGCTACACTTCGCCCAGTTTTCACTGTGTAAAAACTACATAGGAAAAGTGCTACATACATTCTTCAAATGCAGAAACATAGTTAAAGTGGGATTGGCATTTGTTAGATCTTTTAATCCTGTTGCAGCCATTGTGCCTTTTACTTATATACTCGTACTATGAAAATGTACCTTAAATATCTACACATAAATACACACATATCACTAATCTTAGTTTCCTAGGACCTTTTCCTGCAATCATTTTTAAAAGTAGCAAAATATACCAGCTATGTAATGTAAACAAATAGTTCTTCATACAAAATTCAATATATATTCTACTCCCATAGCAAATTCTAAACCTTGGCTTTGACACACTATACTTAGATGATACCCTTGATATGCACTGTTGACAGAAGAACCAACTGTTTGTACAGATCAACAGAATGAATCTAGTGTAGAATTAGCCAGTGTGTTGTTCTCTTACATATCATATGATGGTACATATACACTGCTAACTCAATGTTCTGTGTCTTGTTTTCAAGTAATTCATTTTCCTAAATAGAGATTGTCAAAGTGGCAGGAAATCTTAAGATACTCAACAAAGTTTTCAAAAATAAAATTACATGGATACCTCTTGTAAAAATTATTTTCCCTCTCATTAGTAATTCAAACCTATAATGCAATTAAAAATAAATCATAGAAATAACCCTAAGACAGCATGAAGCAAAAGAAAACACAAAACAAACTAGAGAGGTAAAAAACTTATTGGTTGACAACATTTACAAAGAGATTAGGAGAAACCATACATCCAGCTGTGTAGGACACATACACCCTCATTCTGTAAATGCTGTCCACTCAAACTCCCACTTTAGAGAAATATCTCTACTTGTAGGGCCTTTGTAATGAAGTCTAGAAAGTTTCTGAAAAAGGAGGTATGTGATGCAAGAGGCAATGTTTTCAATATGTTTCACAGTATCACCTTACAATTTATGCAAGCTTTTTGTTTGTTTTTTTCAAATCATGCCAGTTTTCTTCAAGAAAATCAAGCTGTTCTGACTGAGGACAGACTCGGACCTCATGTGTATATTCTTTATCTGTTATAGGAGGCATAGAGTATGTTATCAATCTAAATGCCTGCCTTAGATAAAAAGAAGAGTTGTTTGTCCTTCATTTTACTATTCCTAACTATCTGTGAGACACTATCAGTTAATATGAGTGGTGCCTTAGTACCTATGGTATAAAAACCCACGGTTCTGTTCACTCATCCTTCCTTCTGTATCATCTTCAGCTAGAACAAGTATTTACATGTAAAAATATTAATCACTGTTGAGTGCAAAAATTAAAGTGAGGTTGTAACTGTAATATAAACCTTATAAGCCACTGAATTATTAGACCACGGCAAGACACTTGTTTCTACAAAACAGAATTTTAAAAGTAGGTGTAAAACTTCACATTATAAGTTAGCTTTCAAGATACCAACAATGACTGGACAGAAAAGAGGATGGAAAAGGAGGCTGGGCAACAAAACAGCCCATGTTAGTGCAAACTTGGATTTGTAAAACTGAATCCAGTTAGACCAATGGCCACTGGCCATATCCTCTCACACAAACAGCAGACCTCGTGGAGTCACAAGGTAAAGTGCCATGGCCATGGAACTAGCATGCTAATCTGAAAAATAAACATAGACCCATTAACCATTTAAATCAACCTAACTACATATGAATTAACTTATACGAGCACCAGTCATCTGCAAATCTGAGCCCTTTCTGGGATTTTAAGAAATGAGACAGTGTTAGCACTTGAAAAAGTTATGGACAGAAAACTGCCACTTTAAAGTTTTAGCTTAACTTAAAGCTACATGAGAAACATGAAACAATCTGACTGAAAGTTCTTTCTGAGACTGAGTTTTCCTTCAGTCTGCTGACGGAGCACATTTAAATCTCGTACACTTGAAAACAGTACACAAAAATATATATGTAAATATATATAAATAGTTAAGAATGAGGATCTAAGTTAGTGCTTCTCTGTGTTAGAGAGATCACAGCTAAATAAATGATATTGCCTCACATTGTTACCCGTATTTAAAATAAAAAGTCATGTTAGCCAGTTTGGATGTCTCTACCCAGGAATACTCTAGCTGCTTTTAAAGAGTGCATAGTTGTCTTGATTCACCTGGTTTCTCAGCAACTATTTATCACAAAATGCTAGAATGATACTTTTATGCCAGGGGTGGAAAAAATGCTGATAATTGCACTTTATTACCTTTCCTTACTGAAATGAAAATGTCATGAAGGTAAAAACAAATTCGTCCCCACACCACAATCATTTCAAGCACCCATAACTCTCTCCCAGCTTCTTTCAATGTTGACAGCATTTCCAAAACAAGCTTCCTTAGTACGAGGTACCAGTGATATACTGAGGCCTGCCACTTATTAGAGAACTTTCTGAAGACACTGAGGATAGAGTTTAGCCACAGCACACTCAAAATGTCGGCCAAGGTCCCACAGGCGATCTGGGGTCTCATACACTTTCATCCACTGGTCAGCAATGTCATCATACTGGTAAAGAGAATTCTTTCTGCTGGTTCTGAAGATATGTTCTTCAACAGTTACTTGAGTAGCTCGGACAAATAAATGGAGTTTATTCTGGAAAAGTACCAGCTTAAGGTATGGATTTATAGATTGATCACATGGAAAGTCCTTTTTGCGAGTCCATTTATTTAGCTCAATATCATAGGCTTCTACAGTAAACACACGCTGATGATTTCCACAGGTTCCAGCTATGTAATAGATGGAGTCTTTGTACACAGCTGCTAAGCCCTGGATTCTAGGCACAGTCATGGGGGTTAAAAATCCCCAGTAGTCTTTTTGAGGCTCATAGAAGAGAAAGAATTCTCCTAAGGAAAAAAAAAAAGAATTGTAAATTTTCATGTTTGGTTGCATCTTTAATTTTAACTCTGAAGACTACGTTTTTCAAATATTTGCCTTCTAGACTACAGAAAGTAACAGTAATATTATAGTCTACCTGCATGGGATATATGACCTGGGGGAAAAAAAGGCAGATACACATACATAAAACTTAACCATAAAAAAATTCATTATATGTGTGTGTGCTACTTGGCTAGAAAATAACATATGGAATTATTTAGATTTGTTATGCAAAGCTGATATAAAGCAAAGATAAATTTCAAAACAATTTATGAAACTGATATTGAGTCCATTACCATTCTAAACTGACCATAAAGGGTATGTGTGCTGAGTCAAACTGTCAATTGGAAAATGTAAGAATTAAAGTTGTGAATATTTACAAGATTTTGCTAACGATAAAACATAGCTTTGTGTTTTCATAAGGTCTCCAGCCTGAGCTCAGCCTGGCCTTACCTTTAAGAGCCTCCTACCTCATCCTCCTGAGAGCTGGAATTATAGGCATGGGTGGCTATGCCCAGCTTAATGGGAACATTGTATAACGTCTTTGTGATAATATCAATTTTATGGTGAGATTAAATTTACACTTCAGCAGTGTATAGGTAGAACAGATTGAGCATTCTTTATCTGAACTGCTTGAAAATATAAGTATTTCAGATTTTAAAGTATCTTCATACACATATATCTGCATATATTATCTTGGAGATTACACCAAGTCAAAACATGAATTACTACAGTATCTTCAATGCCTGTGTTTTGACTGTGACCTCTTACAGAAGGTCAGGTGTAGAATTTTCCATGTGTAGAACCAGAACAGTGCTCTCAAAAAGTCTCAGATTCCAAAATATCTTGGCTCTTTACATTAGGGATGCTCAACCTGTAAGACATAACCTTCTTCACTAGTTTCTGTCAGGTTATATATGCTAGGAGGCTTTGTTTAAGTTAGACATGAATACTGGAGTCTAAGTAAAGCTTCCCTTTAAACCATTTTAAATTAGGGACATTCCCATCTGTAAATTAACTATTTAATAACAGTGACATTTCAACTTCAATTTTATTTACCCAACTTTTGCTTACACATTACCTCTCCTTACTAACAATTATAGTATCCTTGATAAAGAAATTGGAGTTAAGACCTTTTATATGTCCCAGTTCTCTACAAATTTCTTATAAAGAAAAGTTGATTTAAAAAAAAAAATCTCAACTCCTCTTTAATAAACTAAAATCAATGGCAAGCAATTTAAAAACTCTCAAGGCCTCAGATTCTCATATAAAATACAACCTCTGGTTAAAAACTACCCTGAAATTCTATGACATCATTGCTGTTTTTATATTAATATACAGTTCATGTTAATATACAGCTCCCCACACTCCAAGGAGAAGCCTTAAAATTATCTCTATAAACTATTTTGCCAATAACACACACATATATAAATAAGTATGGATGGATGGATGGATGGATAGACTCATCACACTGGATGATATAACCACATTGGATGACTTATACACCCATTCTTATACTTTGCAAAGATAAACCCAAATCATGCCATGCTTTCATTTAACTAAAATATAGTACCAGACAGTACTATGCCTTAATTAATTCTGCATAATTAATAAGCAACTTACAGCAAACATGTAGACATCTCTGAGAAATGTTAAGTCAAAGGACTAGAGCAAAGAATATCATTTTTAAAAAATGGGGTAGGCTTTAAAAAAATCTTCATGAAAACCTACATTTTAAGTAGTCATATAAGAAATATAATCCATTAAGGAACACTGTAAATGAATAAAAATTTTAGAATTTACCTACAGTGCATTCAAAATCCCAGCAATTAAAAATTTAAGAAAAATTAAGGGGCTAGGGAGAAGGCTCAGTGGGTAACGTGCTTGCAATATTAGCATGATCCCTAGAATCCACAACAAAGCAGGGCATGGTGGCATACATACGTAACCCCAACAGTGAGGGAGCAGAGAAAGTTAGATTTCTGAGGGGCTTGAAAACCAACTAGTCTAGCAAATTGGTAGGCTCCACTTTTAATGACAGCCTTGTCAAAAAAAAAAAAAGTGGCCAGGAATAGAAAGATACTCAATGTTAGTGTCTGGCCTGCACATTCATATATGTACAATTAAACAAACAAAAAGCTAAGATATGAAGAACATAATTTCAAGCCTTTGTAATTTTTCTAGCTACTGAAACCCTTTGTGGGGGCTGGGAAGAACATTAGCTGCTCTTTTAGAGGGCTCTAGTTCAATTCTCACCACCCCCATGGCAGCTGAAAGCCATCTGTAACTCTAGTTCCAGAGTATTCCTCTTCTAGCTTCTGCAGTGACAAAGTATGCATGTGGTACACTGACATATGTTCAGGCAAAACACTCATATACAGAAAATTTAAAAACTAGTAGGTTTTTTTTTGAGCTGGAAATATAGCTCAGTGTTTAAAAGCACTTGCTGGTCTGCTCTCCTAGAGGGCCTGAGTTCAGTTTCCAGGGCCCACATGGCAGTTTACAACTGTTTATAACTGCAGGTCCAGGCAATCCAACACCCTCTTCTGGTCCCCATGGATATTGTATTCACATGGTGCACAACCATAAATGCAGGCAAAATGCTCATCATATAATAGAAAAATAAATCTTGAAAAAGAACCAACCCCTTGGTAAATAAGTATAACTTGAGTAAACTCCTTCAGTAAGTTCCATAAAAAAGTAGTTGCCACATTTCTTGGTATTATTGAAGAACAAAAATAGCCAGGTATGATTAACCTTTAGACTTTAAAAACACTCTGAAATACTCAGTAATTGCTGAACTATTACTTATCATGTTTTTTAAAATACTTTATGAGATCCAAACCTAACTCAAAAGCAGAGCATTTCAGTAATATTTTCTAAAATTTTAAACATTTTTGACCTTGATCTTCTGAGAGAATCTTCTAGCCTAGTTTACAGTTAGGAAACCAGAAGTATTAACTACTAGAAGTATTAGCTGCTTTCCTATTATTAAGTAAAGCACCCTTGGCACGACGTTTTGTGAAGAATCGCCATGTCACCTACCCTGTAAAACGTAGATCTTTTCTCTGTGTTCCACAGCATTATGAAACTCCAGTGCAACTGGCATGGCACAAACAGTCATCCAGCAATTCTCTCTGCTGTCATAGCACTCCACAGACTTCAGGGAGTTTCTTCCATCACCTTCATAAACACGCCCTCCAATTGCATACATTTTACCGCAGCAATATACAAGTTTGCAGCCTATTCTAGCTCGGAGCAAGGATGGCTTGGCTAGCCATCTGTTTGTGGAATGGTCATACATCCAAAAATCATTTTCTGCCTTATGATCGATGGACACCTCACTGCTGCTCGGCCTGTACCCTCCTGCAATGTAAATGTCATTATCCGGTGATACAAGAATCCCAACTTCTCTTAGGTCATTTGGTGGTTTGCATAGTTTAAACACTCTTCCTGTGGCTATATCTAGACAAGGCACTGTTTGCTTCTTTCCTGAGTGTTTGTGTGCAGCATCAAAGCATATGATCATTTCGGAAGCAGTCATTCCGAGCCTCTGTGTACAACCATTGGTGTTAGCTGGTCCCTTTTCTCCACAGCTTTTGACTATGGCCTGTGCAAACTGAGGTGGAATTTTCTCGACGAATGCATCTTCCAGCAGAGGAAATCGTATACATTTGGCAAAAATCTCTGGAAGGTGTATTTCTCTTTCATTCTGCTCATGTTCAAACCACCTTATAATGCTTTCATAAACATGTTCTTCCCGGTCTACATTTAAGTCATCACTATCTAGTATGCTTATGAGTTGGTCTTTTGTCAGTTGGAGAAACTCTTGTTCTTTGGTGACACACAGAAACTTTTTACGGATGTATTCTTTTGATCGATCTCCAAGTTCCTGATGACCATAATGATCAGCAAAGATAAAGACCCCAATAGAATTTTGTGGGTCCAAATGACTAATCATATACTTAGCACACTGGTCTTGTATGGAAGGAATTTGGAAGATGCTAGCTGTAGTGAACAAGGCTTGAACATTGGCCTCTGTCAGAATAACTCTAGAGGTATAGGCATAATTCAATACTAAATCCATTGATTCAGCTTCAACACCGATGATTCGAACTTCTTTCTGAGTACTTTCTGTAAGGCCGCTAGTGAACATGGATCTAAGAAAGAAAAAGTGGTTAACATTTTATGTGTACTGAAAATGAAAATTTTTATAAGCATAAGGTTATCACATAGATAAGCCCTTCTGAAAACTAATCATATAGCACTGATCAAGAGTTAAATCTAGTTAACACCAAAAGCTCTGTTCTCAGCCATGCCATCCGGTGCCAAAGAAGTTAAAAACATATAATCTAAAAATATGGCACACTGGTTCAAGTTGAAATCACCAGGGAACCAAAGCTGATAGGAGGGCCGTGTGGCCTCCTGCAGCAAGCCATGGAGACTCTTTTGGGATAGTGGTCTTTTATAGATAAGAAGGCTGGAAAAAAAAAAAAAAAAAAAACCCTTGATCACCAGAGTAACAAGGTAACTGTGGCTGGAATGAGACTGAATAAACAAACTCTGAACTATCTTTCTAGTACTTCTACAACTCTCCCACTCCTATACACCCCTAAGTAACACCCTAGAATGTATTGCCCTAATCCAGATAGCCACTTGCCCTGACATAGGCCCTGCTCTTTGTCTAACAGACAGAAACACATGAGGTTTTAATCATGTGTTTTGTGTGAAGTTCACTTTCTTGTAAAAAGCCCTCTGTGCACACTGAATGAGATTCTTATAGGTGTCTCTTAGTAATTAAATCTTGTGCTAACTGGGTTGCTCAGTCTCACCCAAGAGTCCACATAAGAACTGGAAGAGGGAGAGGGGCAGGATTCTGTTCTCATATGCTAATTATGGGAAAAGGAGAATACTGGTAAGAAAGCAAACCATAAGTGATGTACTTCAGATCTGATTGTCCTTGGAGCACCTATCCAAGCTTCTAGTCAAATTGCCTTAGAGATAATGGATGTTAAATTATCATGTCCCAGAAAAGTTCAGGATAACATCAAGATAGCAAAAATCAGTCCTAAGCACAGGGAGCCAGTCTAATAAATTCTTTTGATGGTCCAGTGAAAATTGCAGGGGAACTTGTATGCACAAAGTAAATTTTCATCTCAGAAAGAGCATGGCATTCTTCACAGGTACATATTTTTTACCTACATCTTTTAAAAAACCACTTTACTCTTGAACACTTTGAAAAGGCTTCCTTAATAGAGATACTTCATTTTCTCAGTTAAAGTTCCTAAATTTTACCTATTTATATCTATATAAAAAGTTAGGTTAGGGTTAATATGCCATTTTCTAAAAAGTTTAACATTTTTTTTTTTAAATGTGTAAGAATTACCACAGGTACCTCAGTATATCTAGTGCCAGAGGTGGCCAGAAAACGGCACCAGATCTAGAAGAACTGGAGTTTCAGTTGGTTAAGAACCACCATGTGGGTGTTGGGAATTGAACCTTGGTCCTCTGGAAGAACGGTTAGTGCTCTTTAACCACTGAACCATCTCTCCTGCACATAGTTTTTACATTTAACACATCACTGATTCTTAGAAATTATTCTTAAATTCCCCAGTGTAAGTGTCTAAGATGGGTGCAGCAGTTTTTGACCCATCAGTGGAAGGTTGAGGCTCAAGGGCAGCCATAAATTCACGGCATCCTGAACTGTAATTTCAAACAGCCTGAGCACACAGCAAATATGCAGCTTCAGTTAAGATGGTCTGATTCTTTTGCTTTTTCAAATGAGTATATTTATAGAACTTTCTTTCCCAAACATTAAGCAAATAAAACACGTGGACTTCTAAGTATTATCCATTTGTAAATATCATTTCCTTTCTGTAAGGTTTCATTCTAAAAAACTTTTGTAGTTGTTTTGAGATAAAGTATTTTTATATAGCCCTGACTGTCCTAGATCTCACTGTGTAGACCAGGCTGGTCTCGAACTCACAGATATCCCACTGCCTCTGGCTCTCCAAGTGCTGGTTTTAAACACATGCCCTTCCACCACTGTAGGAAACTCTAAATTTTTTTTCTTCCAAATGTCCTATGAGAAAAGATGCATGCTTTTACTCTTTTTGAAAATATATGGGTTGCTTAGGAGATACCTGAAGGAATTAGTATGGTATTGGAGATAAAAGTAACTGAGTTCTAGACACTTTTGTTATATCTATAACTTTTGTTATACTGTGAAAAGTATCCTAAGTGAGAAAATGGGCAAACACTTTTGAAGGCCCCATAAAATACATGGGAATTTTTAAAAAATATTTTATTCTTTTTATCTGTGTGTGTGTGTGTGTGTGTGTGTGTGTAGGACTGTCCACATGTGAATACAGATGCCTACAGAGTTTAGAAGAAAGCCCTGGATCCCCAGGAATTTGAGTTACAGATGGTTGTGTGCAGCTTGATATAGGTGCTGAGAACCAAATTTGGGTCTTCTGCAAGAGCAGTAAGTACTCTTAACCACTGAGCCATCTCAATACATGGGATTTTAATATATAGTATACAAAACCTTGAGGATACAAAGGCCCAGCTTGGAGTACAGACTACATATCTTTTTACTTCAATAATGTAAATTTTAGGTTTAATATTACCACTTGACTAAAATTCAAATTTTCTTACTATGCAAATAGTTTAAAAAAAAAAAACAGGAACTTTAAGGAAGACTCACTTCACCCATTTTTGTTCTTTAAGTGTCATACAGTCAAGAGTTTAATTTTAGAATAAAATCTATCTCTGCCATTTGAATGACTTAGGAATCACTCACTCCATCTTTTTTCCATATGTAAATGGAAATAGCTGTGTAGGGATAAGACTATAAAGATTATGGAAGACAATACATATCAATTAAGCTTCAGAGTTTGGTAAGGAGCAACATGTGCCATATATTCAAACACATACATGAGCAGGAGCAGTGGTTTCCACTGCAAGACCAAACTTATGTTCCATATCTTTTTTTTTCTTTTCTTTTCAGCTTTTTATACTGTGATAATTAATACTCAGTAGTTCAATTACCTACCCAAGGCAAGTCTAAATGGTTTTAAGTATGAGAAATGAAGTAACTTCATTCAACGAGGAACAAGAAATGAATGCAACATTAAAGTGGGATGTGCCTTATAAGCAAAAGATAAAGCAAGAGCGTGGCTGACAAGATAATCTTCCTGTCAGCCAAGAACCATTTCTGAATGTTGAAGGGCTTTCAGAAGCAAGCACTTAAAACAAAATATTTATGCTCAGGTAGAAAATTATCTATTCCAATCACCTGTTCTTGGAATAAGAACTTAGTTTCCAATATTGTACGATAAAAGTAAATACAAAATGAAAGTGAAAAAAGCATGAACTACTTCTGGGAATCTTAGAAACTACAGCATAAACTGTTTCACTACTTTTTTACAAAACCCCATGGCCTTAAAACAATCTACTAAGTCCTAACTTACAGGTTCCTATGTTTTAAACTCTTAAAAAAAAAAAAATATACGTCCAAAAACAAAACAAACAAAAGCCCAAACATATTTACATATAAATTCTAGGTCATTCTCTAATAAAACTTCCAATGATTGAAACATTGTGTATCTATGCTGCCCAGTCTAACAGTCAGCAGCCACATGTAGAGCTGCCCTGCCCACTTGCCATGCTTTAGTGTAGCTGCGTTGGCGAATTTCATTTCAAAGCACTATAATTTTCACATGTGCCCGGCGGCATCCACACTGGAAATACCTCACACAGGGGTCCACTAACTTGAAAAATCCAAGCCTCTGAATTCTAGAGTCCCACAGCTCAAAACAAGGGCTACATTAATGAAGCCCGTTACGTACTCTCAGAAAATAGACTCATTGTTTGCCTTTTATTTATTTGTCCCAACTAAGTCTCAAAACCAAGTGGGCAACCCTGGGGATGAAAGGGAGTCTGGGCATGGGTAGCAACACAAGTTTCTTCCGTCGTCATACCTGAAGTAGGGGCTGATGGCAGCAAGAACGTTTCTATGACAGGAAAATGTTTTCCCGTGATCCACTTCCACTACAATGTCTGTCAACTGTCCTTCATCGTACATTGTTTTGAGTTGCTTAAGAATACTGCAAGCATGGAAGGGGTCCATGGTATCGTTGGCTGTGTCTGAAGATGAAATCCCATTCGGTGTTGGGGAAGACTTACTTAAATCTAGGAGAAAAATCGTACAACCACAAGAAGTTCGAAGCCAGTTACGGCGTCGCGGAGTTTGGTTTTGTTATTTTTTCTTCCCACCCCCACCCCTTACACAAACGCCCGTGTCTAAGGCTCCACACAGAGCCCACCAGGGGCGAACAAGTTCCCAGGCCGGCGCGCTCCTCGGGAGCCCGGCGAGCCCGGACCGCCGCGCTCGCGAAGCGTGTGAGGCGAGCCAGCCGAGCCGGCGGCGGCGGCGGCGAGCGGGGGACTGGGCTCCGGGCCGGGCGCGAGGCGGGAGGCTCCCGAGGGCAGCGCGACCCCGGGCGACCGCCAGGGCACCCCTCAACCGCCTCGCGGGCGGCCGGTACCCAGACGCCCCATCACCGCGGGCGCGCCGCCCACCTTCCCCATTCAACCTCGCCTCCCCTCCCGCCGCCTCTCCATCCTCCCCTCCCGCCTCTCGGCCGCCTCCCCAGGCCGCGGCCGCCGTCCGCGCGCCGGCTTCACGCCTCCGACACAGCCACGGCCGAGACACGCCACCCACCTGCCGACGCGGCCATTTCTCCGAGGGGGCCCGGCTCCGATATTTAAAGAGGAAATGTCATTGCGTTTTGCTCGCTCCCGGGTTCCGGCTCGACTAGGCGTCTCCTAGCCAATGAGGGTGGCCAACCAAGCCGACTCCTCCCCGAGCCTCGAAATTCTTGGCGCTGATTGGTCGGCGTTCAACCACCTGTGCGTCGGGAAATGTAGTTTTAGTGCCCCCGTTCCCGCGTGCTCCTTGTCGGGCAGAGGCCCAAGCGGGGCGTTCCTATTGGCTAGCTGGGCGGAGGTAGAGAGCCCGGAGCCCGCCAGCCTTGTGCCTGTGAGATGCGCAGCGCACGCCGGGAAATGTAGTCCTCTGGCTGAGGCGAGCTGTCACTCTGAGCCGTGAGGTAGGAGAAGCTCTTGTTCCACAAATTCCCCTGGCTAGGGCCCCTCTCTTAGTCTCGATTCTGTTTAAAAAATAATTTTCTTCATAACCTCAAAGTCCCTGCCCGTGACTATATTCCGATATGAAAACGTGCTCTGCATGAAGGCTATGAAACTCTAAAAAGTTGGAAATGGTCAGGAGGGCTGTTATGCAAAAATGCAAAGGAAATAAGACACCACGCCCAGAAGAAAAATATTCGTAGGCCCCTGATGAGTCTCCTGTGAAACCCGCTTGAAATTGCAGCACCTTAGCCACGTGCCTTGCTTTTCACAGATGAACTGGGTCTGGTCACATCGCCACTCAGGACCTGAATCCATTTGGCTTGCCTTTCTAGCACACCCAGGAAACACCTGTCACACAAGAGTACAGGAGCCCTAGAGGGAGAGTCAGAAGACTGATTTCCCCTGGCATCTTGAAAATGAAGAGGGGCCTCTGGCTTTCCTGTGAAGAGATGCTGGAGAGAGGCAGAGCTTGGAGCTCCCTGGTAACTTGCTGACCTCCTGGCTCTTAAGCAAGCTCTTCCAGCCCTTCAACTTGTAGATCCTCTACCCTAACATACAACAGCCGATATTCAATCTACTTCATAGTCTTTGGCAAGAGAGCAGGAATGTTATTGTTGACTTAACTTTTTCTTCTTCTTCCAATTTTTTCTGTTTTTATGTGTGTTTTTGCATGTGTGGGCATGCTCTTGGAGACCGGAGACTGATGCTGGAAATCCTACATCGATGATTTTTCTGCCTTATCCAGTGAAGCACGGGTTCTCAGTCAAATCCAGAGATCAAGCATATGGCTAGCCTCTCTAACCAGCTTGCTCTGGAGATCCTCTGTCGATAGGTTAGGTTCCGGGGGATTCGAACACTTTCCTCACAATCACTTTAATCTCTGAGCCACCTCCCAGACCTCTGTTGATCTATTCTGATTTCCTCATCCCGTTTCTGGCATCTCACCGGATGATTTGACACATTATAGAAATGCAAGTAAAAAGTAAATATAAAACAGAAGTGAGCAAACACTGGAGGTGCACCTTTGAATCAGGGAACGGGGAGGGAGCTACAATAGAGACAGACTGACTTCACGGTGGAAACTTCCCTAGTGTTGGAAAGATTAAGCAGCTGGATGTTTTTATTTACCTGCTTGTTTATTTATTTATTTATTCATTTATTCATTCATTCATTATATAACTGTAAACTGAACAAGAAGCCTCATGCAAGCACACCACCAACCCCCAAGGGAGCTGCATTTCCAACTCCAGGTGACCTTGTTAAAGGGTCTGGAAATTTCACCTATGCAAATTAATGAGATGTGGTGCTTCCTGAGGATTGGGGCATAAGGACATCACTCACAGTCCTTGCTTATGAAGCATTAAAGGCTTGCATATCAGCATAGTCTTCACACGATGAACCTGACTTCACTTTCGTTCCTTCTAACTTTGAATTTGCATTTTTCGAACCTGACTTCACTTTCGTTCCTTCTAACTTTGAATTTGCATTTTTCGAACCTGACTTCACTTTCGTTCCTTCTAACTTTGAATTTGCATTTTTCATGCATTCACTTAGTAAAATCATTTTGCTTACAATATAAAGGGCATTAAGAAAAATGGTATTAATCCTCAATATAGAATTAGTAAATAAAGTACAGAGCATGCATTTTTTGGGGGGAATACTATTGGTTGTTTAACTGAAGTTCAAATTTAATCCACAACTTTTCCAATCCTGTTAAAGCTCTTTAATTTTCATTCTTTTGTCTAACTCAATTTTCTATTTAATTCTGTATTAATTAAATAGTATCCTTGTCCGTATTGCTAAATTAAGTACAAGAAAGTGTCCTTGCTCTTTAATGAACAAAGATTTTTGTCAGTTTGGGAATGGGGCAGGCAACAAACTACAGGAAGTAGACCTAAATTTAAGAAATAAAAATTTGTAATTACAAGCTTGCCAGTCACGTGACAGCCCTGGTCAGGGAAGATGTGCCTAGTGCAGCACTGCTGAGCCCTCCAGCAAAGTCAAACAGTGCCTGAGTGGGGAGCAAGGACTGAAATAAATAACACAAGGATCAGCTGGAGAGGACTATCACTAAGACTGCAGCCTTGAGTTTATTCCACATTTCCTCTTTAGAGGCCAAGCAAACCAAATCATATCAATACAAGAAAGAAGTTCCTAGAACTGCCAAACTTGTATTCTTAAGCCACTTCCCTGTGGCAGATATGGTCCAAGACCATACAAACAAGTTAAAGGAACTTGGCAAAACCTTCTGTTTATCTCTGGCTCAAGGTGAAGGCCAGGGTGAAAACAAGTTTTTTGCTGAATACTCAATAACAAAGCAGCTTGACAAACAAGCGGCTCTCCCCAATGCACTTTTTAAGTAAAAAGAATTAGGTAGAAGGATCTCAAAAGTTGGAGCAATAGTACTACTAATTCTCAGCGCTTTTTAAGAGTACAAAGATTCTGTTTCAGAGTAGCTAACTAGATGGCCTAAAGATATGGTTTTATTTTTATATAGGTGGTTCTAAGTTCAACATGACAAGAATTTATAAAGACACTGTACAGCCAAGAAAGACAGCAGCAAAAGTAACCCAGTTTTCTTAATATATTCACTACTGTGTTGTGAATTTCTTGAAACAATTTTCCTACATAATTATAGTTTAGAGTAAAATATATACTATACAGGATGGAAACTGTAAAAGAAAAACGGGAATATACAAAGAACTATACTTAAGTGAGCCCCTGGGCCTTTCTTATTGTATATATTACTTCGAAACCAAAAGTAAAAAGAACTACTTGAAAAAAGGCTTGACCTTTAAGTTATAGAGAAGATGAGGGATCATGAAAGCAACAAATTTGATGAACGAGAAAAAAAATGCAGCCACCTGTTTGTGTGAATGCTTTAACATTTAGAGAATGGCTTTCAGCAATTATCAGTTGTGCACAGGCAACTGTCAATAAGGATCCCACAGGACACAGAAGTGATAGCAGCTGATGGAGGAGGAGAAAGAGGAAATAGAGCCTCACTTCTGCAAATTGATTCTGCAGCTTTCCAATTTCCCTGGTCGGTGCTGTGGAGGCGTGAGATTAACCAGTGCTGGGTAAAATGAAAGAGAGGAAGAAGGCACACTGAAGACTTTTACCCTCTCAGAAAAGGACATCCTTAGACATTTATCTTCTCAGCTACAATCTACCTGATATGCCCAATGTAACATTTTTCTTGCTAAAGTATTTTGTATTAACAGGATTAATGCCTGGAATGAAGCAACAGAGTGGTCTTTTAAATATAAATTTAATATATTTGCAGATTCTAAAAGTGTTTTTTTTTTATTCTGGGACCTATATGTTGCAGATAGTTTTCTTTTTTAAAAATCCACAATTCTAAGTGGATATTAGCACTAAGTCTACCTACAGCATGTTTCCCAACTTTATTATATCTTTGATGATAATAACTAGAAAATAATTTTTTTCAAACGCTAAATTTGATTATAGCAGGGGTGCATAATTTGTTCTTTTAGTACTTGGAATTTAGCCTACATAAGAAGGAAAATATGTATGTAAGTAGGAGTATAAATATTTAATTTCTAAAAAACATACTTTTTTGTTTTGCTTTGTTTTATTTTGTTTTGTTCTGTTCTGTTTTGAGACAGGGTCTCACTCTTGCTCTGGCTGTCCCAGAACTCACAATATAGAGCAGCCTGGCCTCACACTCACACAGATCTGCCTGTCTCTGCCTCCCAAGTGCTAGGACTAAAGGTGTGCACCACCACTCCAGACTTCAAAAACATTTCTGCTTCTCACCACTCTCTGACTTTCTAGAAGACACTGTGAGATACAGGGATCATGGCTGAAGGAAGAGGAAGGAAATCAAGGAGGGAATGGAATAAAAGGGAATGGAAAGGAAGAGGAGAAGGGACTGGATGGGAGAGAAATTCTAACTTAGGACCTTATTGTTTATGGAGGTAAAACATATTCAAATGAAAATCAAGTAAGTCAGGAGAGCTGAAGGCACCCTCTATTTGGATAATATAAACATTTCTGATAGTATGTTAAGGAATTCAGAAGCACCGAGAGCCTGTTCACTGAATGTAGGCGTTGAGCAGAGCCTCAAAGCAGGGTGCGTTACAGATACATTTGCCAAGGCAGTAGACACTTTATTTCTCCTAGCTTGACCCTGAAGGTAAAAAATTAATTATGTGTACCTTACTATTGATGAGACTTAATTAAGAACTGAACAAGGCATGAGGATTAGTAGCTATAAGTCACCTACTTTATTTCACTTGAATTAAGGGCTCTTGTTAAATTTTATATGATTGTTGCTAAAAATGAAAGGACTAATTTTATCAGTATTTCAGTAGTCATGGGCTCTTTGGCTCCAGATCTTTTTGATTACACCGAAAGGTCCCAGAGGCTAGGATAGCATTTGGGAATGATATTATAACATTTTCTCCCCACTAACCATGCCTCCTTGACTGTCAAATACAAGGAAAGGCAGAATCAGCCAGAAATGATGAATGCGTAGGTTTGAGAAACTTCGGTTCAAAGAATAAGGAAAAACCCGAGTATAGGGGGAAGTCACACTGCTACAACTATTTTGACTTTGTCAGGCAAAATTGATCA